CAGCGTACTCGACCTCAACTCCGCGGACCTGCGCTTAACGCTTTACCGTTAGCCCAGGAGTTTCGTGCCCAGTAAACGACCCTTGGCAAGCGTTGACATAAACGGGACCACGGTCAAGGCGGTCGTGGATACTGACCTCGGGGCACTCAGTTTATGCCCAGAAAAAGAGGCTTAGAAATTGCAGATGAAGAAGGAAAGGGTGAAATAGCCACAGGTGTGCATGATGGTAGCTGAGACTACTAAGAGACACTTCATAGCTCGGGACGTCTCGGTAAAAGGCTTCGGCAAAGCGGTGCGAGGGCAGTGCATCCTTGATCCTAGCGACCTGCCTCTGTGCGTCGGGATGCCGTTCATCTCCGGAGCGATTATAACGTTCTTCGAAAACGGTGACTAGGAACTCGTCTTCCCCACCCGAGCCTAGTGACGAAGTGTGCAGCGTGGCTTTTCCAAAATAGTTTGAGCTGTTTCAGTTTCATCTTCCTCCTCACATCCTTTCGCCCAGGCAGTGACTCGTCGATATATATATATATATATATATATATATATATATATATATATATATATATATATATATATATACATATACACACATACATGTATATATATCTGTGTGTGTGTGTGTGTGTGTATGTGCATGTGATAATAAAAAAAAGACTGCCGCTATAGCTCAGTGGTAGAGCACTGGACTCCGACCCTCGTGGTCCCGGGTTCAATTCCCGTCGCGGCAGTCGTAAAAATGCCTGCGCTCTGACTGCTACCTCGAGCCCGAGAAAACTACATATCGGATTGAGAAGTCAAAACACAGGTGTCGTAGGGGATGTCACCGCCGTGGCACAAGTGTTAACGCGCCGAACCACGGTTGATTAGGAAGGGCATCCAATCAGGCAAGAGTGACACTGCCATATAACCTCTCAATACTGAATTGAGAGAGGCCGATGTCCTGCAGTGGAATGAATGGCTGTTAAAAAAAAATGTTTGTACACACACACACACACACACACACACACACACACACACACACACACACACACACACACACACACACACACACACACACACTCACACGTAAACACACGCAACTAATTAGTTTGTTTCAGATTTGTGTATTAAAATGTTTGAACTCTTTCAATATTCAGTATTCTTTCGTAGTCAGCCCAAGGGGCACCTAAATAATTTGAAAAGTCTCGATAAGAGAAAAAATGAGAGCCACTTCTTTCTAGATTATTAGTGTGGCAAAGTCTTATTGTTTTTAATACTACTGTATATCTCACCGTATGTTTATGTCTGAACGAAATTTTACACCCGAGCTAGTGAAACATGGTCGTGCAACACCGTAGAGTTTATCAGCGTTAAGTATTCCTTCGAAAACAGGAAAGGCATCTTGAAATTAGACGTTATCACTCTACCCGTATCTATGTCTGTATGGAATAAAATATGTTGTCTAGCTTTAAGCGAATGCATCACAAAGGTGGAAACTAAATAAAACACGGGTTTAGTAGGCAATGTGAAGTTCTATTTTTAGACTAGCATTTGCAGAGGATGTCAACAAACTGAAGCACGAGCATGTTCATCATGCAAAAGACTTACGCCAATAAAAATAGTAATTACCTTATGACTATTTACTCCGTGGTCTGCAGACTTTTCATCATGAGCCAATTTGGTTTCATATATTGCCTTATCAAATATCATGTGTTTACAGCTGTCTTCCATCATGAAATACTTTCTTTTTTATCACATTTAACTGTTAGGACGATTCCTTTTTTCGAAAGTTTTTTTTTTTTCTTAGTAGATGGAGCTCGTAACCTCGAGTGGATGCTCTTCCTAACCTGGATACTTTTGGTATATCGTGGTTACCTTATCCTACCTTTAAGTAAACCCATTGACTAGTGACTGGCTCCCCTACTTTGGACTGTTTACTACTAGACTGGAAGAAGTTCGGTAAATTGCCCTCTTCTGTTGTCCATGACCTGTAGTAGTAGATGATTGAAAAGTAAATTGCATTGCAAAAAAGTTATCGACCAAAGAGACTTGTCTGAGACTTTTTTTTGCACTGGTAGACAGGTTGACAAATACCATACCCTAAATTGAATGCTAAAAGAAATACAAACAGAAAATGAAAATGCCTTACTGTATAAAGGTAAACAGAAATACTTTATCATTTATATTTATTATGTGTTACATCACCAAAAATAAAAACATAAAAAAATATGTTCCTTGCAAAATTATTAATAAAACATAAAGGTATTGAAAGTCACAAAATCACACCACATAAAATGTGACGAACATTGCAATCAACTGCATACAATTATCATGTCTCTTTTTTCCTATGACTTTACCATTTTCACTTGTCAAATTGTTACTAGAATTCACATTCCACTTATCAGCAACTGATAATCAGAAGTTTATGGTTGCTTTGTTATTTGTGAAATACACAACTTCTAATTGTGACACAGAATACACTTCACCATTTTTTTTAATCTATATACAAAAATGTTCAAGT